TATATATATATATATATATATATATATATATATATATATATCGATAAAAAAATGTTACATTACTTATTGGACAGTTATAAGTTTGTTCAGAAATGTACTGATTATACTGAAAATCTATAATATATTTATGTAACGTGAACTATAGACTTTCGATATTGTCTGCACGTTTTGGAACATAATTCAATGACTTACATTAAAAGTACGATTCTTTTATTGTAATTTCTTTTATTGATAAATGTAAACTTGATATGATTTTAGCAAAGTGTGAATAGCATTATTAAACTACAAATTGTTTGAAACATTTCTCGATGAAATCCTTGATTTTTGAGAAAAATTTCGTTTAAAAGAATATATAAAACTTCTTTTCAGTATCTCTACCTGAATTTCAAAAGATAATAATTTGTTCATTGTTATTTCAATGTTGTAACAATATAAAGAATCAATGTAGAAGAAACAATATAGATTCAACGTTGGAAAGATATTTATATTTCAACATTATATTTCAACATCTCCCTGCTTAAAATATTTGATAGAAAATGATTGGATAAGATTGAAATGGATAGAATTCCTATATTGATTCCTATGTTGATACGACTTATCCTGCACCGAAGCCGTACAACATAGACTTTCTATATATTTTAATCATATTTTATGATACTATTCTTTTCAATCATCTTGAATATTAATGTTTGTACAATACATTGATATTTCTGAATCATAGTAAATATCGCATTATGTATTTTTTATTATTTTATTAATAAACTGTTTATAATATTCTTTCATAATAATTTTACTTATAATGATGGTTACAAAATGGCCAGGTAAAAATGAAAAGAATATGTATGTAGTTTAATCATATCTTATAATACTATTCTTTTCCATCATGTTGAATATGAAAGTTGGTATAATCAGTTTATATTTATCAATCATAGATAATACATAGTATATGAATTCACTTACGAAATTTCGTAAATGAGTTGTGAAATATGTGAATCAAAATCACTATAAAATATGATAGACAAATTTTCTATAATTTTCTACCCATTTTAAGCAGGACTCAGCAACGTTGTGCTGCATGAGAGAGAGAGAGAGAGGGGGGAGAAGGAAACGAGAAGGGAGAAAAAAAGAGAGAAAGAGTATTTTCATAACAATAAGCATCAATTCCTAGAAGTTGATAAAAAATCTTGACAAATTTCGATGAGTTTATATATTTAAGTAAAACCTATTAGAAATGTAACTTATTATATTTCGATTAGATTTATATTAGTTTCATCCTACAATAAGTATTTTAAGTCTTAAGCTTTGTGTTTTAAGCTCTAAATTGTGATGTATTTATGGCCTTAAGTGTTCTTGGCGCTGCCCCAACCTCAATTTCTAAGCTTTAATCCCTTAGCGACGGATGACGAAAATTCTCATCATTTCCGACTTTGCTCAGAATATAGCAAAAACGTATTTTTTCGTCATGAAATATTTTGTTGTATTGGAGCCCATAAGTGAATGTATCTTTGAAGTAAAATGTATTTAGGGCTTTTGAGATCTGCTGAACTTGATTTTTCAATCTGATTTGTGAAATTTTGCCTAAGAAAAATATAGCTATTATAAAAACAACAATTTTACGAATTTTTCAAGATTCTCATCATGATATATTTTGTTATATTAAACTCTCTACGTAATTTTATCAATGAAGCGAAGTGTATCTAAGGATTTTGAGATCCGCTGAACACGATTTTTTAAGCTAATTCGCGAAATTTTGCCTAAAAAGTTTATGGCTGGTAGAAAAATGAGAATTTTTCGCATATTCTCGTTATGAGATATTTTGTTATATTAGCACTTGTACATGATTTTATAATTGAAGCGAAATATATATAGAGATTTTTGGGTTTACTGAACATAATAATATATACTGTTTTGAATACTCGTTAGATTTTCGGGGGGTGGGACCCGATTGACCACGGTACTATTGGACATAGATTATAATGATTGGTTCGACCTGGTAATTCACTAGATAATTTTTTGCACCGGTTGGTGGTGTCCAATCGTACCGTGTTCAATCGAGATGTTCCCGTTTTCGGGTACTTCCAACTTAAGAGCCTTAGTGTGTAGATTTAATCACCGACAAGGTACTATAAAAGACCGTACTTAGACCGTACTCGATTTTACGGGTTTTAGCGACTCCGAAAAGGTAAGTGGATAAAATCCATAAAAAAAGAGGGGATAATGTTGGCAATGTTTAAGTCTCTAGGATCCATAAATTCATTTCTGGAGATTAATATCATTGTTGGACGTCAGAAAAGTATACAGAATTTGTGATAAATTAACTCTATACCTTTATACATTTTTTTCTTGAGGCAGGAGCAATGCAATACGCATACCCGCGACCCCCTGAGGAGGGTCAAACTAAAAATATCAATAAATAGATTTTTTGGAACCCTATAACTTTTATTTGAAATACTTTTTCCTAAAATGCTTAGTTTTCAAGATATTTTGCCGTCTTGGAACTTTATTAACACTGTATATACAGGGTGTCCCATTTTAAATTACGCACCTGAATATCTCGTCAGGGGAATCACCAATCCGAAAATAACCCTTACAAAAGTTATTGGGTTCGGAGGGGGACATCCGATGGTGATTTTCAATTTCACCTTGACCTTGACTTTCAAGGTCATCTGAAGGTCAAATCGAATGTTTAAATAGAAACCCCTATTTTTGACCCCGGATTCAGAAAGAGCGCCAAATTTTACGTTTAGATGGGTACTTGAGGCTCTCCTTTGGAATAACCTTCACAGGTTATTTCAAGGACAGAATATTTGAAATTACGCACCTGAATACAAATCTTGTCGGGGAGCAACCAACCCAACCCTTACAAAAGTTGTTGGGTTCGGAGAGAGATATCGGATGGTGACCTTCAATTTCACCTTGACCTTCAAGGTCATTTGAAAGTCAAATCGAATTTTTTAAATAGAAACTTTAAAATTATGTTAAGAGTCGAAATGACCTTTAAAGATCATTTCAAGGTCGAACCGCTTATAAGTCCGCTAGCATGACCTGAAAACCAAAATTGATCGTGGTTTGTTTTTTAAGATATTTGAATTAGTAGTCATTCGTATAAAATAAAATTGTTCACATCAGAGCCTGCATTCAGTCATCGACATAATACATACATCGATGTCCAGGGCCCACGTTGATTGTGTTTCAACGAAGATTTGAATTTACATGTAACCGCGATTCGTTGCGGGTTTGAATCGCTTGTCGGATCGGGTTCGTGATAGGCGGAATAATTGAGAAACAGTGTGTTAAGAAAATAATAATGAATAATATATTTAAAATACTAAACTGATGATAATGACAATATATATATCGAACAATACGTGTCGACGCCTTTGGCTTTGGTTGTTTGTATCGCCTGACAGAGGTTTGTTTAGACGCGGATTTGGTGATGTGACGCGCGGTGCGCGGGGCGCGGACGACGTCAGTGTCGCGTCTTCGCGAGTCTATGCTGTTGACGTTTCTTTCGGCGTCGTGTCTCTTAAGTGCGGTGGACACTT